GGGGGATTATGTTGGTGAGTTCCAGTCACGCTCGAATACATCCTCCAGCTGTTGCCGGATGCTGTTTTGATTCTTCGAACTAGCATCCTCGAATACCAAACCGATTCCTTATAACAACATAAAATGGTAGTTACGTGAAAATGTTAAGGACATTTTTTTTTATGTATCTAAATTTTTTTATTTTTTTTATTTCACATAAGATAAATAAGAGTTTTGCCATCTTGCATAGAGTACTTTGTTATTTCCTTTTCTAAAAAATTTGTACTTCTTACTTAAGAACCATACCATTTAAAAAAAAATTATGACAATACTCGTGCATGATATTATGGATAAAAATAATTATTAGACTCATCATAAACAATGAAAGGTCTCAATCTTATAAATCAACACTGTAAACTATTTATTCTTGTAAAATAATGTTTTGCGTTAATCATATAGTTTTTATTGTTACTGCATAAATAACGTGCAAATTTACCTGCAGTATTGATAAAATAGTCGCCAGACCAATTGCTTGTACCAATATAAGCTGCAATGTCCGTAACCATATATTTGTTATGATTTACTCGGGCAAAAGGAATTTTGTCCAACTCAGGATTAGTAGGCACAATGAATCTCCTCTGTAAGGTAAAAAGTGAGTAAATCAAATTATTTTATTACTACTTTTGTTTCGACACTAAAAGCTGTATAACCTTGGCCGAACTAAATCATCATGCTAACACGATACAAAATATGAACAATAATGTCAAATATCTTGACCAATCATGTTTTTACATCAAAAGTGTGAGCCAAAACATACACAAATATCAAAAAAAGAAAAAGTATTTATTTTTAATGAGTGAATTAATCACATACGAGGATAAAAAATTTTTTTTTAGAGTTTCAAAATAGCGCAGACATAAAGTGTCAAGTGAAAAACACCGAAAAAATACTCTTGCTCGCTTTTTCCGCAAGCCTGTTTCAGTCGAACCGGTTATTTTGACTAATAAAAAAAGAGAAAATAAAAACCAATCGCTTCACAGAATCACTAAAAATACAACAATGAGTACCAACCACTTCGATTTTAATTTTGCTGTAGCTATCCGTCAGATCTTCTATAGACTTGAGAAAATGGTCCTCGGAGGCTCTTGAGTGTTTCCACTTGGAAATTAATAGTCGGACGTTGACTTTGCGCTCGATGGCAGCGGTTCTGAGCGCGTTATCAATCACCGGCCAAAACTTGATTTTCGGGGAGTAAATGGTCAACGGGAAATAATCCATCACCGAGATGTAGATAAATTTTTCGGCCTTTTCAATGCAATGAATGATGCTGTCGAGATCGCTCGTACGACCCTCCGGCAAAAACGGCGTTGGTGAGCTCTGAAAATTGAGAAGTCATGTAAGTAAGTGTATTACCTCCCTTTTTATGAATCAAGAAAGACAAAAACTTTGGTTATTCATGTTTTATGAAAATTTAACTACTCACGGCGAAGAAACTTGTGTAGTTATTGCCATCCAACTCAAAAGCCATCGGAGTCTTGACGTTTATCTTAGTCGTGTATGGCTTGGGCCAAACGTTTGGAATTTTACCAGTCTTACCAAGATACCAATAAACCTAAATTAATCATTGCAATTACTTACTCTTAGTTTTAGTTTCAACGAAATCAAAAATTACAACTACTGGTGCTGTAACGTGAGTGAACTTGCCTCAAAAATCTTGGCGAGATCCCGAGCCATGCAGGAACAATTGAAAGCAACCAGGCCGAGCTCCTTGACTTGGGTAAGCGAACGCCAGTCCATGTTCGCCGAACCGACGTACACGTGCGTACGGTCGATTATCCACATTTTTGTGTGGAGCACTCCGCCACCGAGGAGAGCTGCAAAATTCAAACTACGCACCTGCAATGCAAAAACACAAAAGTTACATTTTTACGGGATTGATGAATTCAAAAATACATTTGTGGGCATTGTATATAGTACCAAAAAAAAAAAAAAACAAAAAAAAAATATGACATACTTGAGCATTGGCCCTCTTGGCTAACGTCTCAGTGTCGACGTCCGGACTGAGCTGGCTAGGAGTGTCCTGGGCTATCTTGAGATTGATTCTCCTGTCCCTACCAGCTCTCAGAAGTTCCTGGAACACTTCCTCGCCCTCCCGAGCACTATCGTCTGCATAAGCGAGATCCTCCCGGTTCATCGTCCAGTAGAGCGAAGCTATCTCTATATCCTTGCGTGCCAGGGCGATGAGCTCGAGCCAGGTGTCGTATGTACTCCGGTGCACGACCGAGCCGTTGGCGTAGCTCATGTTGCGGGGTATCGACTCGACGAGGGAGATGTCACAGTCACGCATGCAGGACATCTCGCTGTCGTTGCCGAAGCCCCGGCCGTGCAGGCCCTGCTTGTCCGCATTGTCGAGCAGCGGCAGCAGGACCACGAGCACGATCAACACCAGGATTATGCTGATCGGTATGTAGCTCGGCCTGCACCAATCCTGCGTGCCCCATCTGTCATGAAAGCTTATCATCAGGTGGCACTCCTTGTGTTTTGTGCTACTTTTGTATAATTTTTCTTTTTTTTTGTTATGAATTTATTTCCAATTTAAGGGAAAGAAAGGCCAAAGTCTTGTAGGACTTGACGATCTCACCTTCCGTCGAACGGGTCGTCTACATCGTTTTTCAACATGAAACCAGTTTGATCCCAGAAGTCGAAATCCTCATCACCGGCTGGCGAATTAACATCCAGTCGAGCATTTTCTGAAACAGTCTACGGAGCAAACTATTTTTATAAATAATATATGATTCTACCGATGATATTAACTAAAGGGTAATGTATATCGTAAAAAAATTCAAACAAGAGCCATTTTCGCGCTGCAAACTATTTTACCGACATCTACTGGAGACCATTGAAAAAAGAAACGTAAAATCAACGATATAGAAAGACACTTTGTTCGTACTCCGAAATGTACAAATAAGAACAATGTAAATCTTGAAGAGAATTCGAGCCAGCTTTATGACGCGGTAGACTGTTAGTCACTGCGATAGCGTCAGTGTTATTCGTAATACTGGCTTTAATATCGTTCCTCGATTCTCGAATAATATGTGTCTACAACAATAATGTTACAACTTGATTTTGTGCGCATATTTTTTTTTTTTTTTTTCATGTTATTTCGTCGGAGCATTTACAAGCACAAAAACTGAATACATAAACAGAAAGTAAGAAAGAGATACATCCAAAAATAGAAGAACCATCAATAAGAACGCACTTTTTTCTGTCCTTTGGCGTCACTCGATTTTTTTTCTTTTGCTTTCGGAAGAATCCTCATGATGAAGCAATGCAGACGTTGAACTATCGATCGAAAATCACAGGCACTTCACTCAGCCACGACTATCAATACCGAGTGACGAGTAACTCGGTGTAACAAATGCAACTACATTATTTTAAAAACTAAAATGAAACAGTTAAATAGTTTTAAGAACGCGTGCTCAGCACTTGTATCGTAAAACCGATGCAGCTACAGCATACATGCGAACACGTTGGAAAAGCTAGGGAGAGAGACAATAGAGAGAGAGAGAGATAAAGAACTCCAATGCCAACATTGGTTCGTGCTCCGTTTTCTCGACGACTCGTCCGATGATTCAGAGAAAAAGAAAGCCCAAGACACTCACGTACTTTGAACCACTATCGAGTAATTGAAATACAACCCATCTGGAATTTATGTTGAAACTCAAATTTTTAGATGCTGAATTTATCTTTTAAAATCACAAGTCATCTTTTGTGAAATAAGCTCGAATATATTTGTTAGTTTTTGATGAAATATTTAGTCACCATCCAAAAATTTTAGAATATGAAAATAAAAAAAAATGTTTAAATGCTTCCGAAGTAAAAAAATATATTTGCAGTTATATCCATAAACAAATTATACTTGAAACGTTAAAAAAGAAAAAAAGAAAAATATGCACTAAACACAGTTCTATAATAAAATAATCTACATACATCAGTTTGAGGAGAAATACCTGACACGAGAAAGTTTTCTAACGACCAATTTTTAAATACTTGTATTTACAAATATTTATCAGCATTTTATGTATTAACTTGTGTTTCAATCAGTTATTGTTTAATTAAATGTACAGTTGAAAAAATTAGAAAAATTTAATAGTAGTAAAAAGGTGAAATTTTTTTCTCACAAATCAGAGTAAAAAAATCATTAAAGCCAAAATAATCTTTTAGAGAAGCACGTACATTACACCTTTGTTGTTTGACTGCAGCTGACAAGCTTTTTTATTACATTAAATTTAAACTGTTAACATAACAATTTAAAATAAATATTTTGAGTTCTCCAAAAATCATCATCGTATCAGCTCTTGTACAAAAAATTCAACAAAAATAAGGTTACGCAGTAATCATACGAGAAAAAAGTTGATAAACGTTAAACTTGTAATATGATAAATATTTAAAATTTGACAAAAATTGAAGAATACGTTGATAAAAACTTAATAAAGTTAAAGTAAATTAAACGTTTATATGTATTCTTTATAAATTTGTTAATTACACGTGATCATAACCAAACAATCTATTTTTTACATCATCTATCATACATATTTAACTTTCAATAAAAGTTTGTTAACGAATGAATATTCAGGAAGGAATTGCACACCATTTTTTAGTATACGATGACATCACTTGTAAAATGTTTCAGCAATCAACAAGTAAGTTAACCTAAATGTCTACACGAAATTTTTTCAAACTTTGTGATATTATTAGGGGTTTGGGGTTTTTTATTTTTGAGTTCTATTATGACGGGATAGCGCGAACGCAGTCCCGGCTAACAAAAATTATACGCCCGAGATATCCACATTAGGGATATTCGCAAGGGTCAGCCCAATCGTAGTGCAATGAAAGAGCCTCGCCCTGGAGGAACCGCCTTGATGATCACGGTAACCTCTGCGCCAGGTAAGTATGCTGGAATCGGCACATTCACGCTTATTTCAAACCAAAACTTGGTTAAATTTCTTGCAGAGATGCCCATTTTCAACAGCTTGCCATCTACAGTCATAGGTGAACAGTACGAAACGCCTCAGTGCACGTAGTTGGTTGAGATAGAAAGGCACTAAATTTAAAATACGAGTGCGTAGCTTATACTATAAACATTTTCCTGATTAGCTTTCCAAATGTTTGGTTATAAATAAAAAATTAACTATTGCAGAAGATTTTTCAAGATATTATAATTATTAGATATTACATTGGTACGATAAACAAATTGTTACATTCTTAAAAGTTTTGAATAAAATAAAATAGTAAAAATGCATTCAATAATTGTGAATGAACACAATCTTTTAAAAATAAATTGTTATAATAAATGTTTATCCTACGAAAAAATAAAAATGTGTTTTCGAAAATTAGAATAGAAAATATTTTTTCTTAAGGCATTTTTGAGTGCTGTGCCCTTAGTAGGAAAAATAGTTTTCGTCACTTTTGTGCACCGATCAGGACGGTTCCAACATTTCCTTCGGTGTTGCTTCGCCCAGTACCTTACAGAGAATATAGAGAAATGCACATTTGTGACGAAAACTACTATTAGCGATTTTAAATAAATTATCATACCTCAAGAAATACATTATTCAGTTGCCTTTTGCATTTCCATAGAATAATTATGTGGTGGTATCTCATACATATACTCAGTGGTACTTTGTTAACAGTATTATATTTAAACTTCATACCATAATGAATATTTTGAGAGTTTCATTTGTAACATACTCATTTCAACTTATACAAAAGTAATATGTTAGTTAAAAAAGATTAAAGAATCATGAACAATTTGATAAAATTTAATATGATATACCAAGTCGAAAAAAACTATAACTTGTATATCGTAAGTAGAAAGTGAAATTATTTTTGTGTGGTTCATTCACCATTTCTTAAAATTTTACGAGTTGCACACTATACATTTAATAGGGTTATAGTGCATGTTCGTAAATTGTGTACAAGTAAAAATTACTGCTTTATATGAAACATATTATTATTCATAAACGTTTCAAGTATTCTAATTTTACATAGCTCTATTACATATAGATGGTTATATAGTTAAATATGCAAATAGATTAGTGTTATTAATAATAACCAGAATATACATGAATCTAATTAACATAATACTTTAGAACAAAATCTACATGTTGTTTCATAAATAACTACGAAATTTTTATATTTTTTTACATTTTAAATAAACTATTACAATAGCTAGATTACTGACATCAATTAAAACTGTATTAATTAACTGGAACCAAGCAATCATAACAACAAAAGCTATCATAAAAATTTTACATCTAGTCAACGTGGTAATAAAACTCACATGGTTGGTTTACTGTTTAGTATTTATTATAATCATCACTATTATTATTGTTGTTGTTAATTAGCCATATATACTATGCAAAATTCTTACATATTGTCATATTAAATGTACAATCAATAAGCATTTTAAATCAGAATTTGTAAAATATTTTCAAAGTGCCAGAAAGAAGGCTTATTGTGAGCTCGTACACTGGCGTGACAAATAAGGAGAAAAAATAGAAATCAAGTATAAAATACAAAAATCAATGATAACACTTTGGTCTTCTTAATTCAGTCCTTAAGCTTCGTGTTATTTCTTCCTTTGGCATTTCTAAATATCTTGGGAGAATCAGGTAGCCTGTTGAATATATGGGTGGCAGTATGTTTGTACGTACACTTGCCACCGTTCAATTTACAGACAGGTGAAGGCACATATCTGTAACTAGTCATCCTGATACTATTTGTGTACTTTTTATGTAGTTCACCATACATAAGTATAAACAGTGCACTCCAACTTGGATGTTTGATCGATGCTCACGGTCTCATAGGTATATTAATTTCTTCGAATCTCATTCCGCATATTATTCTGAGTTATCTTCTTTGAATCCACATTAGAAATCCCTTTACATTTTGATATGTTGATCCCCAAGCCAATAATCTATAAGCTACCACAGTATAGAGAGAGAGTGCATGGTACATAGTTAGTAGTTGCTTAGTTCTTAGTAGTTAGTCAAGGTAAGTTTGTTCATCAGGTCATTTTTTTATTTCAACCAATTTTGAGCTTCGCAACAAAAAAACAGTATTATCAGCAAATAAGGTGATTCTATTTACCTGTATAATAAGCAAATTATTATCGACAAGGAACTCAGTATCGTACCTTCGGGTGCACCAGTATTGACACTCTCATAATCACTACAACTTTTACCAACAATAGTTCGTATTTGTCTAAGCAACTTTTAAAGAATAACAAGGCAATACTTCTGATTTCCGCACTCTAATTTATTCAACAATATTTTATGATCAACGCAGTAAAATGTCTTCCTCACATTAATGAAAGCTATCGCAGTAGGTCCCAAATTGTCCAGCTTAGAGTTAACATAGTCATTCAATGAAATTAAGGCATTGATACAACCTTTTTCCTTTGAAATCCATATTGATTTTTTTATATTAACTTGTGCAAATCCATGAAACTATAGTCTTTTGAAAATTATTTTCTCGAATACCTTAACAAAATTGTAGATCAACCATATTGGCCTGTACCTGGCAACATCACTCTTTTTGCCACTTTTGTAAAAATGATTTATGTATATGACAACTTTATACATATCACAAATATATTCAAAACAAATCAGACGTTTCAGCTATTGTAATATAGCAAGCTTAGTACTCATTTTCCTGTTTATTGCTCATATCAGTTAAAGGTGACATTACACATCTCC